TGCCTATTGTTTTTTGTCTTCACGGCCCTGTACTGTGTGGTGTTTCACTACATGGCGGAACCACCGAGCGTACGATGGGTACGAGGCAAAATCAATCCAATGATCATGGCAAAGGGGGGGGGGGGGCATGAAAAGTGACTGCTCCGCGAAAGCCACGGGTTTCCGTAGTGGCTTGCGCACGTTAGTCACTCTGTGCCTCAGTTTTCTACCCGGTAGTACCCGTGGTAGTTTACTACACACCTCGGTGATTGGTCAGACATCATAGTAACCGGGGGATGATATCCGTGGGTTGAGTATCCTAGGGAGTACTGTCGAAGTATGTACTTCTCTACCACGTTACCAGCGAAAGATACATGCATGTGGCTTATTCTATTAATTTTCTAAACCCTGGTAGCGAGTATAAAAGTACAGTGGTGTCGAATAAATGAGGGAACGCATGGCAACCACCAAGCTCAAGAGCATCCACAGATTCACCAATGCTGTTTGAATTTTGGAGTTGAATTGTGATTACAATATGAAAGATACCTCAAAGAAACTTAATCTATTGTTTGCTGCTCCGACTTGGGTATTGTTATTGAGCACAGGTCACTTTTGATGGGGTTGTAATTTTGCGCGTTCCCTCACTTTTTCAGCGCCACTGTACTTAAATATGTACTTCCGTGCCACTGCCCAGCTTACGGGATTAGCTCAGTAAAAACCGTTTTCACTGACGTTATTATCTCGAGAAGCGAATGATATTTGTGTCGCGGTAATACTGTACCGAACAGTTGACCAACGAGCGGCTGTATGAAAATGATAGATTTTACCTACGAACAAGTGCCAAATGGCGGCTTTGGACAACGAACCGAGGTTAAATGACATTTCCGGATGGCAGTGGGAAGACGAGCGGAAACAGGATGTGAAGGCGGCAGCCAAGGGGGATGGCGACACTGACTCAAACCTCGAGAATTAGAGTACGGTGTCAGGACAACGTGGGCCTTAGAAATCTATCCAATTAGATGGCAGATGACCGAACTCTTTGGCTAACGAACCAACCTGAAATGACGCTTTTGACGTGTGAACCAGAGAAGCCGATGACTGATGATGTTCGTTGTTCACTGCTCTGTACAGATCGGTAGGCGCGAGTTGGTAGTGGGTTGGATCGTCCGCAGGTTTTCCGGTTACACGGCGTACGTCCTCAAAGCAACAGAGGATAAACCCATTTCGTAGGTTACCCGATTGATCACACATCACCCTCTCTCACTCGTTTTTGCAAGATATGATTTGGCGAAAAGGGATACAAATATCCCAAGGCGATGTGGTGCAATGGCTAGCACATTGAGAAAAATGCATTATTATTATCGTATTCTTAAAGGTCCTGGTTCGATTCCAGGCATTGCTACTCTCTTTTCACACTGGGGAGGAAATTTAAGGTTTGAGCTACCGAGACAAGCTTTGACACTACCAGCTCCGAGTCGACTCGGTCACGCTGGCTGGACCTAAGGCCTTGGTGCTGAGACTTTCAATTTGCAATATTGCGTAGAACGCTCTGGCGTGACCTCAGCTCAACCACGAATTGCGAGAGATTCAGACAGCTACAGTCTCCGCCAAGCGAATACTAACTTCATACACACACCATCAACTTTAACTTCAGTCATATCAAGCGTGTTCCAACCCGTTGGGGTGAGCACCCTGTCCGCAGATGGGCCGCCCCGCCTGCGGAATGGGTGGTTTTTAGCGTGATCCGTCATTGGTGCACCCATACGCAGTACTAACCTGGTGATGTTATGCTTAGATATGGCTGAGCTGACGGAAGCCTCGTTTTCATAACTCTATGACCGTAGCTGAATTCATTGTTTGGGATGGCGTTTATCTGTTATAAGTACTACAGAGAGAACGGGAAGGGCAGGGAAACCGCTTCTCCTAGGATAGAAGAGAACAAACATCGGTGTCTCCAAAATAGTGTGCATAACAGTCAGACATTCCCATTTTCCTCTTTACAACCACCTGATTAAACTTAACCCTCCTTCACGCCGCTGTCAGTTCAATGGATCTCAGGAGCGCTGTGGTAGTTGGTGAAAATCATCCAGCCGGAGATTCATATACTGGATCCCTAGTTCTGGCCCAGAATCAGTGGTGATGATAGAGTTGTCGTTCTAGTCAACTCTATCCGCCGTCATCGTTTATTTTGAGGATGGCCATTTGATATTCCATAGTAGTCAGACAGGGCCTTGACTGTCGGAGCAGTGGAGTCGATGTGGAGTTTATTGGCGGGAATGGGAGATGCAACAAGAGGCTGACCCACAGTTTCTTTCATAGCGTTCGGGCCGGCCCAGGCTTCAAGGCTTAATTATGCTCTTATCTCAAGCCGGCTCCAGCTGCTCAGGTCATGCCCATCACTAACCAAAGCCTATCGATAGCTCAAACCTTAAATTTCCTCCCCAGTGTGAAAAGAGACTAGCAATGCCTGGAATCGAACCAGGACCTTCAAGAATACGATAATAATGCCGTTTTCTCAATATGCTAGCCATTGCACCACATCGCCTTGGGATATTTGTATAGATTCTCACAAAATCACAACTTCAACAACGAGTGATATTTTGTGATTTGGGCTGTGTGAACTTAGCCTGCCGAAGTTATTAGCAGTCATAACGGGGGAGTTGGTGCTGGAATATGGGGCAGCGGACACCAGTATGCTCGGTGGAGGGTGGAAAATATCAAGCCGGAGATTCATGTACTGGATCGTCCGGTTCTGGACCAAGAACAATGGAGTCGTCGTTCTCGTCAATTCCATCCGCAGACGCCGTTTTCGAGGATCGCTTTTTCGTATCTCATAATTGCCAAGAGGATCTTTGACTGTCGGCGCGGAGGGCTCGAAGTGGGCTTAAAGTGAGTTTACTGACCGGAATGGGAGATGTAGAAGAGGCCGACACACAAATTTCTGCTTCCTGCCAGCGAAATAAAGCAACTCAGGACTACAATTTCTTGCATGGCGTCTGGGCAGGCTCAGGCTTCAAGGCTTGGGAATTTATCTCGAGCCGGATCAGGTCATGCCTATCACAAGTCAAAGTTTGTCTGGATAGCTCAAACCTTAAATTTCCCCTCCAGTGTGAAAATGAAGCAGCAGCGCCTGGAGTCGAACCAGGACCTTTAAGAATACGATAATAATGCCGTTTTCTTAATGTGCTAACCATTGCACCACGTCGCCTTTGGATGTTTGTATAGATTCTCACAGAATCACAACTTCAACAACGAGTGAGAATATATGACCACGGATCACCTTGCGACGTGAATGAGATCAGTACACACCCGCATCCCCGCTTCCATCTATTCCTAACATTCAATTAGTTTATTTACAAGTCACTTTTGTTTCACCAACGACTCACCAGATAAAGCATTCCGTCAAACGATGACCGCCGCCAAATTCCTCAAGGGCGCATACATTCTACGAATAACAAGAAGGCATTCATTGCCCTCCTGATTGGACTCGAATAGCCAGAAGCAGCGAAGCCACTGTTCAATGCTGGCCATTTCTCTGCTATGCGCTGGCAATTCGGTTAATATCAACAAAGCCAAGCGGTGTTGATTCCAGGATCTCGTGAAGGAGCAAGTCAAGGGCATACTTGAAGCTGGAGATTGGCAGACCGGTAACGTCAGCAAGGACATCGGCACCAGCTTCAATGATACAACCACGATGCTCGGTGATCAGGCGAAGGACCTTAGGTCCAATCTTGAGGATTCCCAGAAATACAGTCCAATTGAAGGTAAGCTCGCAGCAGCTGAGAATCAAGTTGTGTTACTGCAGGAATCGGGTACTCCAATACCGGAGAACGCTGGGAGTCTACATGATCGCAAGTGCGAATGGGAGGACCGCACCATTGCAGAGGTGATTCACGCCTCCTAGCACGAAATGAGTTATTTGAGGTGACAAAACAATACAAATTTAAACATTGTGTCAAGGAGTTGAAACGAGAGATACTCATAATAAAATTGAAACAGGAATGGGAAGAGAAGATTGACAAGGAGATCGACTCCCATGAGCAAGAGATGAGTGACATTACAACTCAGTATAAGCAGACATGAGGTGTCTGAGAGTCCCGAGACCCGGCCCCGCGACTCGAACGCAAGCAGGACGAGACTACTGCTGTTGCGGGACGAGATATCTTGTGACTGAGAGATGACGTGTGATCAGCGAAGTTTTGCTCGGAGAAGATTTTTGTTGTGTCCTGGTGATCCCGTTTTCGACCGATGCTAACGGAACTAAGTAAAAACTCGTGGAAAACAGTAAAGCGGTCCTTTGCACACGCCCACAGGATACCGTGTCCATTCAATACCAATGACTTTTCGAATAATTGGTAAATAATAAGTAACGTTATCGAAGCTTGTCTTGCTACTAGTCTGTCAGACGGCTTTTTTTTTTCGCTGGCGCGTAGACTATCTTGCTACCTAGTCAAACCTTAATTTCACCCTCCAGCGGGTAAATGAATCAGTGGCAGCGCTTGGAATCGAACCAGGACCTTCAAGAATACGATAATAATGCCGTTTTCTTAACGTGCTAGCTATTGCACCACGTCGCCTTTGGATGTTTGTATAGTGTCTCACCGAATCATGACTGTAAAAACGAGTGAGAGTATGTGAACCACGAATATCATTCACTAGACTCAGGACCAGGAGTAGGACGTGGAGGTGAGACTGACGAGCTTCGAAGGAGAATTCTTACGAGAAGAGTCAAATCCGGATAATCAGAGTATGACTGTAGAATCGGGTCAAAGGCTGGCACCGTTCAAATGACAAATGACCCAAAACCCCAGCAAACAAACCAACCTCAAACAATGCTTCTGAGCTGTGTATCAACCAAGCTGATAGCAGGTGATGCTCGTTGGTCGTCACCTCTCAGTAAAATATCGTGAGATCCCGAAACCTCGGAAGGTGTTGAGGGTGTGACCGACTCGAAGCTGATAGTGTCAAAGCTTATCTCGATAACTCAAACCTTAAATTTCATCCCCAGTGTGAAAATGAAGTGGCAATGCCTGGTATCGAATCGGGACCTTCAAGAATATGACAATAATGCCGTTTTCTTAATGTGTTAGCCATTGCACCACATTGCCTTGGGATATTTGTATAGCTTCTCTCAAAATTGAATCTCAAAACGAGTGAGGGAGTGTGATTCAGGCTCTGTGCTTTCTTATTTATACGTCACAGATTTTCTAGCTCTGGCCTCGTCACTTTACCCTCAATTGCCGGCCTCATCGCTGTTAGCGTCCCACCAGCGACTAGGCTGCATTCTTCACTGGGCCAGCACATCACATCTCAACTATATCTTCTCTTCTCTGCAGCGTACACGTGAATCATAGTCTCGAACTGCCTACAGCTGTGACGACCTCGGTGCGTGGAGAATAAACAGTATGTGCACATCCGAAGTATTCCATTACACAAAATAACATGATCATGATATACCGTGGTGTCCCACGCTGTTCATTCTCCAGCGAGTGTACCCGAGTAGGTGCAGTATAGACATAGAGCTGGTGCACGCTGAGTGAGTATTGAACCAGAGACAGTAGTTTACTGATTGCCTGCAGCAAGCGTGAACCCTCCCTAATACTGTACTTTAAAAGTGCATTCTACGCGCGTTGTACTGATATCTCCCGAGCTCGCGCCGCACATCACATCACAAAGAATCTCCAGACCAAAAGCCTCTAATGGTAATAATGATTACGAGCGTACTTTAAACGACTCGCATACGCAGGTAACCGCTATATCAGCATTCGCCTGGGAAATTAAGGACCAGCATCATGTAGGCCAGGTAACATGGAAATAAACATTGTTTCCCGGCCGGTTTGGCAGATAAAAATTCTGGATCCACCTGTAATGCGTGCTCCTCGCATGGGCGCACTTCCACACTCACAACTTATATAAAGACTGATTCCTCATCATCACCAAAGAAGGTTTCACCTGCACCCTCCCGCCGCATTACGTCTGCAGTTTCGGCCCGGGCCCGCTCGGGACGGCATATTACCTGCCATTAAGACAAACGAAATCCGGGGACAACGTTGTCTGGAGCTGCTAGTTTGCTGCTGCTGTGTCCTCGCTTGCTTTTCGCTATGCAGGTGGGGAGTATATAGAACTGCCAGTTTAACGTCGCTAGCTCTCATTCACCCAATCTGCCGGCAGAAAGCTGTTTACTGTATGGAAAATCGCTGCAGATATATATAAATATATATCCATGTACGCATGCCCATCGGAAACCGACAGCCCTCTTGCTTCGCCTTCTTCATGTTGCTACGAAAGTGCCCTGGAACTGCAATTTTAGATGTGAAACATTCTGGGAAGCTCAATAAAGTTTGGAAAGTGGGCTAGAAGCAGGATGTTTCACGGACCTTGCACGGTCCAGCCCTATGTACGGGTAATCAGTCATGTGCGTCTTTTTTTTTATCAAGGTTGTGTAGGAACCAACCAGCCTTAAGCTTATTGTCTCCACACAGTGTGGTACAAAGCGTTTCCGTTGAACTCCGCGAAGATATCGAAAGTGAATTTGACGGGGCGGATGGGAATTTAGACATCTAAACGCGATTGAGAATTGGAAGATAGCTAGTTAGGTGGTCTGAGGAATCCATATCTTCAATGCATGGTAGATCAATTGTAGGCAATGATTGGAGCACACCTACCTACGATCAAGGCCTAGGTCCATGCTTATCCATCGTGCCCCATGCTGATCTCCATTGCATCCTCATGATCAGCAGCTATCCAGTCCCGAACACGAAAATTCTCCTCCTACTCCTCCGGGTATCCGCCTGTCGATGTTTCATACACAAACACGCACACGCACACAGTAAATATAACCTCTTGGTCTCACGTGAAGATAACGATATCGAAATGCTTATTTCAGCGCAGAAAATATGTGCATTGTATGCATGCGTCGATGCCATATAGCGTTCTCCGATACCTATTCCACATCAGACATCCTCCGATCCCAAGAGAAAGTGCACAAGAAAACAACTCCCCCTTCCCTTCCCTTCCCTTCCCTTCTAGTAACCAATCCATCCCGATCCCAAGTGAACACCAGACTTCCTGACATCCCAACTGCAAACACAGTAGTAAACAAACAATCCCAAGATATCCTGTTCCTAAATCCAATTCCCTATCCATTGTCAACAACCCCCTAACTCCAAACAAAGAAACCATCCCGTCGTAAGTTCGTGTTTTTTAATCCTCCCGATGAGGGGGAAAACAAAGGTATCTATCAAAAGTAAAACATTACATCTATACATAAATAAGCAATCAGACAATGCAAAAACGCCAAAACGCCGTTCTACCCCTCCTCATACCCTTTAACAAATGGAAAGTATCGTTATGAGTTGTTTTTCGTAATCGTCTATCGTAAGTTCGTAAAATCGTGAAATAATGGCCAGAAACAAAACCGAATCCTCAGCAAATCCCCTCAAACCATCCTCTCCCCCATTTCCCCGCCTCGACCTCTCCCGGTAACTCCACCTCGATCCTAGGTGCCCCCTCCTCCTGCCTCCTCCCATATACCGGCGTCGTAAACACACTCATATCCAGCCGGCTGTCGTTCATCCCAACGCATCTGAAATCCAATGTACTCGGTTTCCTCGATACCCCACTGCGCATCAATACTAGCGTATTCGGCCGTTCTTGCCTCGTCGTGCTGCGGAACAGCTGCTTCATCTTCGACAGTAGCTTGCGTTTGCGATGTGATGAAGTGGAAGAGATAAATGAACGGTAGGTTGTTGTGGTATTTGTGGAGTCGAAGGAGTCAGGACGTAATCCTGACGATGGAGTACGGCGGTGGCGCGGGAAATGCATTATCGTCGTTGTCTTGCGGAAGTGTGCGATTGAGAGAGGACGTGGGCGCTGTGGGTGCTCTGGAGGTGGCGAGAATGTGCAGATCGCGGCGGTGGGGAGCGGACGGTGGGAAGAGGAAGGCTGCGGATACATTTATCTTTTCTAGCTCGGGGCTTGTGTGACGTGGTTGTTGGCAGGTGGTGAATGGGTATTGCCGATGATGGTGATTATAGAATGTGGTATGGTATGGGGTATGGGTAAGGGATGGACAAACTGCTGGTTCGAAATACACGGGTGCACCGGTGCGGCAGTTGCTGTAGCTTGCTTGCGGGGTGGAACAAAGAGACAAGACGGATGATGGGAAAGACGGACGGACGGCAGGCGGCGTTTCCTTTATCACCATACGTCGCGGCAGTATCTTAGCGTTCTTTCCAGCTTCGGGGCGAGTTACGTCTTTGGTTGCCCCGGGTGGATCACACGTCAGTGCTACCCAACCAACAACCCTATAGAACTGCTGCACACCTCCCGCTTCCGGGAATAGGAAGCACGCGGGGCGTTTTTATTTTTCTTTTTGCGCGCACTGTACCGATGATGGGATGGTGTGGGGTGGAAATATTCTTTCGCGCAGCATGATTGATGGCTGCAGGTGTGAGCTGTTCGTTCTTTGGGGGCAGTTCAACCAAACAGCACTATGCTTATCACCCACCGTTATACCCCCTCCGCCCAATCCACGAAAGCAGTAGTCAAATTGGAGGACTGCTATTTCGTTGAACTTCAAGAATGCCTACGGTCGGTATGAAAATTTCTCAGTAGCTATCCGCCTGGGTTAATATCGTGAAATTTTGTGGTTGTTTTTTCTTTTCCCCATGCCGAAGGGTCTGGCATGGGCTCGGGAGTGAAGGCGCATGTGCATAAATGCGGGTGTGAATTGACAGCAGCCATGTCGCACAAAATACACAAAGAAGAAGAAAATAAAATAATAATGCTATTATTACTCACATACTTATTCGCGTACTACCGTATATGATGTGCGATATGATCGACGCGACGTTTGTTCCGCGATTGACGGCGAACAATACGTGGATACCAGACAGCAAACACAGCGGCTGCTGTCGGAGAACTTCGGAGGAAGTTCATTGGGGAAAAATGTTTCCACTCTTTGTGGGATCGAACTGTCAAACAAAATGGCTATTGGTACGGCAGCCCGACGCTGGTTTCGGACATGGTGTCTCCGCAGCTGCATGAACGCATGAACGGCAACCAACCCCTTCCGGATTCCACTGTCTTGCTCGGACCGACCGTTGATCATGAAAATCCCAACGTATTTTGTAGGCCTCCGCAACTCAACAAGTGGTGATACTGAATGATTTTCACGAGGGGAAAGGCGAATCCGTCGTCCACGTGTGTACGCGTATTGGCTTATGATCACTTGCAGATTCTAGCTAGTAGTCGCCCTAGCAGTATCATATGCCAGCCTGAGTGGAATTTTGCCTTTCATTCTCCCAAAGCACGAACAAAGAACAGAAACTTTAACTTATGCGTTCTCACAATCCAGACTGGGCAATGATAGATGGATTAGATTAGATCGAAATCACGTGCTCCCAATTGATGCTGCGGCTTGGCAGACCCTCAGAATCTGTCGTGCCGAGGCTCAAAAACATGTGACGAGCCACCGAAGAGTCTGGGTGCGAAACAATCGGCTGTGTACGTGCAGGCTGCTCATCTCATATGGAATGAGGTAGAATTGCTCTATTTCTAGAGTTTTCAATATTTAGTTGGTGTAGAGTCATAGGGACAGCTGGTCGAGGTAAGCCTCAGTACCTCAAGATTTGAAAATAAGGCTCTCCAACTTGCAGATGTACATGTGGCGAAGCGACTATGCCGCTGGTTTAATTTAGTGTGCCCTATTATCTATCATCTTCACGATAGCCAATAAGGGCATCATACAAGGTCACTCGCATATATTGTAGTGCTGGATGTTACTATATCCGGTTTGGCCGATGTCATCTAGTCATGACGGTACGGCCATACGTGCAGTTGATGGTTGTGCTTAAGGCATCGTGAGGGTGTAGGATATCATGACATCTACGCCTCGCCACCATAGGCCTCAGCATGATCTCATGTCACCGTACACACAAGTATATAAGAGAAGTCATTCTCCATGTATATAGAAGATCAGACAACTCTAGAACTCCTAAGTTTAACACTGGATCCGAGGAATGCTAACTATGGGCTAACATCGTCGGATACGGGTCGGTTGACTATAGTATATCGATGGGGGTTGAGAATTGGCATGTGTGATGGG